GGTATTTGAACCTCAAGCGGCAGTGTGCATTGTATCAAAGTAAAACAGTGCCTTTTACTGCTGATACTTCGTGGCTCTTTGCTGTTCTCTACTAACTGCTTTTCACCATGTCATTACTGGTACACACGTGTGATGCAATGCCCGTGCAGGGTACTGTCCGACTTGGTGGTCGTGAAACACCGAATCCCTTTCAATTCACCCCCCGTGGCAGGATCCCCTGTGTGACTTCACCCAGACTATTACAGGGATTTCGCTGGTCCACTTCTATCTTCACCAGACGAGAGTCACCTGATACTCAATGGTGGACATTTCCTGGCTACTCTCTGGTTTTAAAACGTCCTTGACAAACAGAAATCCCTTGAAGCCTTTGTCTAACAGACAGCCTCTGCTTTGCTTATCCTTCTGTTTTGTTTTCCTTTTGTGTTTTTGTAGTTGCTCCTTTGTCATTTGACCAGAGAAAGAGCTCACTGGTACCAACAGGGCTAAAACACGGAGGTTGTGCTTGGTTTGTCTAATTGACATCTGCATGACACTAATGTCTCCCCCCTGTTCCTTGTCTCAGTATATGGGGGTCTTACTTTACAAACTTTTCTCACTGGGAGATTCATCCCACTGACATACCAAATTTCAATCAAAATTTGTTTTTCGTCTTTTTGAGACACAGCCTCACGATGCAGTTCAGGCTGGCTTTGAGCTCATTTTGTAGCCCAGGCTGGGCTCAAACCTACAATGATCCTCCTGTCTCAGCCTCCTGAGTGGTGGCATCACAGGCATGTGCCATCAAATCAAATGTCTCACATTTTTCAAAAGGCACAAATATCAAAATAGCCTCTGTAGAGTGTAAAAAGGATTTCATATATTTTGTTTTGAAAACATTCTACCTTTTAAAGAAAATACAGCAATGGGATTTTTGTGCCTGTTCAAAGGAAAGGCAATTGTGTTGGTGAACACCAGCTAATGTTGATCAAACAGTGTTTCAATATAAAACCCAGGGGCACCTGTTTCCGTTAGTAGTCTTCCTCTCCTTATATCAGACGTATCTTCGGCTACAACTTCATCATATGTTTGTGACTATCAGCACAGGGATTTGGAGAACTGATTCTTGTATCTGTTCACATTACTGTTCAGAATAAAAATCAGGATTATATTACTGTAAGAGAGAAGACAGTGAATAGAAACGGACGGCTGTGTCATGTCTATTACCTGTGGTGGTTTTGGGGGAAATGTCCTGCAACCTTTAAAAATAATGAATGGGAGCTCTGCCCACTGGCTTGGGGTGGGGCGGTGTCCAAGGAGGTTCCTAGGAGCAGTCTTAGATGAGAAAAGCAAAACGCACAGAAGTGGTCATATAGAATTTAATTTTGGAAAATAATTTTTTTAACTTGTGGCATTGAACCCAGGACATCACACGTGCTGAACAAGCACTCAACAATTCAATGACCCTACCTCCTGATTCCCAGAGTTTTTTTGAGGCAAGGTTTCACCAAGTTGCCTAGGGTGGCTTTGAACTTGTAATCCTTGTGCGTAAGCTTCCCAAAAAGCAGGGATTGCAGGTGTGGACAACCTGACCTGAGAGTATATGTATATATATGATATATTAATACTGGAATATAGAATGTTGCTGAAAGATACACAGTAGTTTGTTACCATGTGTTTCCTAGCTAACACATTATTATTATGTTATCCCATTGTTATAACAGGTACATGTTACTTTTGTAATGTGGAAAACAAAAATTGTTTTTGAAAACATAAGAATATCTTCTAATTTACATGGCACTTTACAAGTAAAGCAATCTATGCAGGAGTTTACCATCAGGACAAAGACATCAGTATAAAGTAGTTTACCTAATTCATTTTAAAATACATATTTATTTAGCTAAATTATTTATTTGGAGAACATGTTAGCTAGATGGTTTAGAAAGAACATGGTACCCACTTTGAGCTAATGAATGCTTACAAATGTTTATAAATATTTATGATTATAAGGTAGAATAACATTACAATAGATATCATCAATGTATTATTTAATGTTTACTAAATTAAACAAAATTACACCTACATTTATGAAATAAAACAAAATATCCTTTATGAATTGTATTTAATGTTTACCTATTTAATTCCATTTAGGCCATGAATCTTTCATGAAAAAGTCCTGTTTGCGAATCAGCCACACCTTTCAAGAATAAATCATTCTCAGGTCAACTTGGCTTCATCAAAATTTTATGAAAAAAAGTCTCAATCATGTATCTCAAGAATCACTTTATAAATTATACTTGATTCAGATATAATAAAGAACATGATACATATTAAAAATAAAACAAATTAATTAGTTCTCTACCTATCCCAGTTGAATGCAAATGTTTATTTGGCATAGAAAATGTCTAGCGTAGTAACCTGAGGGGAAAAAAAACCTCTCATGGCCAGCAATACTAAGGCATCATTTTTCCTGCACTACAAGGTCAAAACAGTTTTCAGTGCCTATTAAAATTTTTAATAATGATGTAATAAACTTTTCAAAATTTTTAATTTAAATTTAAATCCAAATAGTTCGCTCAATAATGGCAATATTTGACTTTTGCTTTTGTCATGTCCAAGTATTGATTTGCTATTACTGTGTCATCTGGAATCTGGACCAAAATGTATGACGTGAACCACTTCATGAAACTCTCATGCTGGGTGAACAGTGACCTTTACTGCAAAGGTCACCCAGGAACATAATAATGACCCAGGCGTACTTCTTTAAATGCTGTGTAAACTACTAGGTTTAGCCCATCAATTGCTTAGTAGGAGTGTTCTCAATAAGGAATGAAAAGAATTGGATATTGAGGTTGTTAATGTCTATAGTACAGGGAAATATTTTGAGAGCCTAAATTCACATAATTTTTATTACAGTGCATTGCTATAGTTTTCCAATTTTATTATTATTATTGTTAATCTCCAACTGTGATGAGTTTACAAAATGGAACTTTATGATAGGCAGTATGCATGCACAGGAAAAAATGATACATATGGATAATCCACAGTCAGGCATCCACAGCTGTGGGGTCATAGAACATATCCTCTAGGGTAGACTACTTTAGTATACTCCCTCAGGATTTGTTCTGAATCAAAACCGGGCAGTAAAAGTTTCTTCTACATGCCCAGGGTCCAAGCTTAACACACTGCAGTCATAGAAATCTTAAATTTGGTCTTAAACCATCATAATCAGCCTTCAGATTTCCACAAGCACAATGGTACAAATTGCCATTGTGTATGTCAAGCTTGAAAAAAATGGTGTAGCTTTAGGAAATTAAAATAAGAACAATAACCCAGAATGTTACTAAGTTTCTAGTGGTGTACCACATATTTCTTGTTATGGAAAAGTATCAAGCCTATTTATAAAAACGTTTCAGCAGTTTTCATAGGGTAGTGAGGTAGAGTATACATATACATATATTAATAGGGGAATACAGGAATGTTGCTAAAAGATACACAGTAGTTTGTTACCGTGTGTTTCCTAGATAACATATTATTATTATTATGTTATCCCAGTTTTTTTTATTGGTCAGAGGTGGATTGGTGAAAAACGATAGAGGATTCAGATCAGAAAGTAGTGAGCAATTATATTCAAGGGTCACAAATCCAAATCTACAATGGTTTTTATGGCTTCCGACTCCTAAACTTATGTTTCAGTTAAGTGGAAGCAGCCATCTAAGAGTGGTGTTGGGACCCAGCTCAAAGCCAAAATCATAGAAAAGCTTAGTTTCCATTTTATAACCTATATATTGAAATAAAACTCCAAATGCAAACAATACTTTTCAGTCACATTGTAAATCATCTTTTCTCTTATGGCTCTTTCAATCTTTAGCCAAAACTAGATCTGGGACAGATTCCAGGCCAAGACAAGTATTCAAAATCCACACTTCCCTTTATTTTACCTTAAAGTAGATTCTCTACCAGGGAACTCTAGAAATTCTTTGATTCATTGGTCATTAATCAAACTGACCAAGACCTTTCTAATACTTCCATCAGCTTTGTACCTTCCTGATATTCCCGCAGGCGGTAGTTTCTCGATATCACAATTTATGGATATAAGGCTCTTTTAAAGCTTGTAATCCCAGCCCTCGGGAGGCTGAGGCAGGAGGATCATTGCAGGTTCGAGACCAGCCTGGGTTAAAAGGGGAGCTCAAGGCCAGCCTGAACTGTATAGCGAGACCCTGTCTCAAAGAGACCAAACCAAACCAAACCAAACCAAAGCAGCTTTTTAAAAAAAGGAGCCAGACCTGCAGCCACCTTGACAGCAAGAAAGCCGCACTCATCCCTCTCTGAGTGGCCCAAGGCTGTAGCAAACCGAGGACCTCAAGTTTAAGGATTCTGATCGCTCAGAAACGGAGCGCCCTGGAGTTCCTTGACACAAGTCCAAGCTTGGATCAGAGGAGAGGGAGGAGGCGAGGCATCGCAGGGGCCTTTCCCTGACAATCGGCTTCCGAAGGGGGTTTACTCCCACCCAGGTGTAGTAAGATCGGGTGAACTTAAGGCAGGCGACCTGGGTTCCTAAGATACTAAGAGCCACGGGCTTTAATAAACATTTGGCGCTCCGCTTTTTTATGGTAAAGAAACCCGTACACACCGGCCCCGCCGAGCTTCTCCAATATCGGCTCCTCTGATTCCCTCAATTGCAAATATTGAAGGCAATAATGTAGGGTCAGTCGCTTTGGACAGTTTCTGGAACATATTAAGGTTCAACAAAGATCACTGATTCTTAGATCGCAGGTTTTTTAAGGGTTTGCTAAGTGCCAGGTAAAAGAACTAAATGAAACCGGGTCAAGACTAATTCCATGAGAAAAATCGTGCGCCCCGGAGCGAAACTGCGCACCCCAGCGGTTTTCCCGCGCAGGCTCAGGCTCCGCCTCCGACAGCCCGCCTCTTAAAGCGCGCACCAATGGTCAGAGCCTGGGCTCATCTGGGAGAGACGTAAGGGGAGAGGTCAAACCGGGACAAGCGGGGGCGTGTACTTCCGGGCCAAGGCTGGTTCATTTCCTGGAGGAGTCTGCAGTGCCAGTATCAAAGCGTGTCTAAAGCGGCGCGACCGCTTCCTGGTCCAGTGAGCTCAGTCAGTCTGAATCAAGAATGAAGATCACTAGGCAGAAACACGCCAAGAAGCATCTTGCCTTCTTTCGCAACAATTTCGGTGTCCGGGAGCCGTACCAGATTCTGCTGGACGGCACTTTCTGTCAGGCGGCGCTGCGGGGTCGCATCCAGCTGCGGGAGCAGCTGCCCCGCTATCTGATGGGGGAGACACAGTTGTGCACGACCAGGTGGGTCCACGGGGCGGGGACGGCCGCTGCGCTTCTGACGCGGGTACTAGGGACAAGGCCACTGCTGGATGAGCATTTGGGGCGTCAGTGTCCTGCCATCCAGGAGTTGACTGACAGGTGCTGACCTAAGGAAGTTGGGCTTGTACGTTCTCATTGGGCCTGTTATATCACGTGTCTATAGACCGACCAATTAGAACAAGGGTTTGCGTCACATGACTGTAGCCTGGCCAATTAGAACAAGAGTTGACCTTCGTGTATTAGTCCCAGTTTCACCACCTGTCTGATTTTGGGCAAGTTAATCTCTGAGTTTCAGGTAGCTCAGTTATAAAATAGAACTGTGTACCATACGTAGTTGATGTAAGGTCAAGTGAGGTGTAGTGAACCTAGTGCATTTTCTAGTTTCTAAAACTAAGCCCTCTACTTTTTCCAGTTTAAACCAAAAAAATTCGAGCCTCACAACTTTCCTGTATGGTAGCGTCTTCAGTTCCCAAGGAAAGAAGTCAAAACTGGAGAGTAAGAAGTTTACCCCATATTTTATTCAGCTATGTTTTTTTACAGACCCTTTGGCAAGCACTGCTCCAGGCCCTGGGGATACCAGAACAAAATCCCCGCCATCCTGGCTTATCAGGTTCATAGGCAACCTGCAGTGGACGTTTTTGGTCCCAGATCTAACGTTTTCCCACTTCGTCTAAGTGTGGGAACACTTGAGATGGAGCATTGTGTTGGCGGCAAAAGAGAGAGGAGGGAATTATGGAAGATTTCATAGAGGACATGACTTCAGAGCCCTTTGTTTCGTGCAGTTCTGAGGGGAAAGATTATTTTGAAAGAATGGTGTGACATTCCTTGTTTTGGAGACTCATTGAACACAGAGTTGAACAATGAAATGAGGGTGGGACAGGATACTACACAGAGAATAATTAGAAATGAAACTAGGAAAAGGGTAAATGGGATTAGATCGAGAACTATCCAGAAATTTAGTAAACCCCCCCCTTTGTTTAATATTTAGTTTTAAAAGGCAAAAAAAAAAAAATTACAACTCTACAGTCCTTACAAGTAAACAGTTAACATGTGCTGTTTTACCCGTTGACTTCTTTACAGACTTGCACATGGCTTTCAATATATGCACTAGGCTAATAGTTTGCTTTTGTTACAGAACAGTACGCCACAAACAAATTTTCCATATTCAGAATTCTTCATGCAGTGGGTTGTACAGATACTCAAAATTTTGATCCCCTTCACCTGTGGTGCTGCCCAACAAGGCCTTGGGTAGCCGACACCCTTAAATTGTTTTTTTCTGGCTCCTGTTTGTGCCTCTACCCCTGTGTGCCATGGAAATAGTGACATTTTAATGGGACAGTTGAGAAATACTGACTGAACATTCTGCACTTTTTTCTTTTTTAATTTCCTCAAAATGTTTTGGGGTTTTTCAAACACAAAAGTAGAATAATAAAGTGGAGCACCTATCACCCAGATTTTACAGTTGTCTGTGTTCATTTCGGCAGCACATACGCTAAAATACACAGATGTCAGCATAGCCCATCTTACATATTGGTATTTCCCCTGCTGCCCCCTTTACAGGAAGTTATTTTAGAGCATACTATACTCTGTCAGTTTTAAGAATCAGGTCATTTGTTTTTCAGTTCAGTGTAATTGTTGGCCACTAGTAGTTAGGTCCAGAGCAGTGTGGTGAGCCATCTACAGTGCCCAAACTGTAACTCAAAGCATGGAACCCACTTATATATTGCAAAGGGCCAACTCTGCAGTTAAAGGTGAATACTGAGATTTTAGGTTAGAAAAGACAATTGATACATTCACATGTTTTGTCTTAAAAGAAAAAAAAAAAAAAAACATGCATACCACAGGTTCACCACCACAGGGCTAGAGGGTTTACTTACATTGAGGTTTGAAGAGAAGTCTATTTGATTGACAGAGTGCAACAGCAGAATGTTACCACACCTGTTTAGAAGAGATACCTGCAGTAACACAAAGGGTAAAAGAGCAAAGACCAGCAAACTGACTTGGTAGTTGCCCAGTCAGGAAGTAGAGGGAGCTTGAACCTGGGAGATGCAAGGCAGACACCCACAATTTCTGCAAGCAGACTTTACTGAGATAGATCGGACTAGTCACGATGTAATTTCAGAAAGGTAGCAAGTCCTGGAGGAGACGTTTAGGAAAAAAGTGGTTGGACTTTGAACTTGGTAAATTTAAAGAGCTAATGACAGGTCACCTATAGGCAAAGTTTGTAAGTGGTCCACAATCCTACAAACAGTTCAGGACTGTAACTGGAAAAAAGCCAAGTCTTTTTTCTTAAAAAGACAGGTGATAAAGGGGACGAGACAGGGAAGGATCTGGCAAAATCGGCTAGAGTTGAAGAAATCTTTGGCTCAACGATTGTCGTAAAATTTTTTCTAAGTGGGTGGGAGGAAGGATCTGAGGAATTTTATTACTTATTTATTTTTTGGTGCCAGGGATCCGAACTCACGACCTCGCGCTTGCCAGGCAGGCACTTACACCACTGAGCTAAATCTCTGGCCCCTGAGAAGTTTTATTAAAATACTAATACAAGTGACTCTCCACATCCATTAGTTCTGCATTTGTGATTCAACTAACTGCAAATAAAAGAAAGTACTAGAGGGGAAAAAAACCCCACATTATGACCTTCGATCATTCTTCCCTAAACCATGAGTGTTACAACCTCATATAATTTACACTGTACGGTATTAGGTATTAAGTAGTCCAGAATATGTCGCAACCCGTCGGGCTCCTCAGGTTCTTGGGGTTAAGGACCTCGAGAGGCTGAGAAAAATAAAAGAGACAAAGCTGAGGTCACTTAGAGCCCTTACTCTCCTGATGGGAGGAAAAGAACTGCTCAGCCACTGCAGCATGTTTATTTATATCCTGGGAAGGATGATGTTAATTTCACCCTACTGGCTGCCTAGCAACCCATTGCTTGGACTGTCTGGGGGACTTGGTATTTTCCTGGGCTGTAGCAACTTTACATGGCTGACCAGGAGCCCTTAGTTTTCTGGTAGGGTCACCTCTGGTTCATGCCCTAGGTCACTTTCCAGCTTCCACTGCTCCTTAACAAGAATGATTTAAATAAAGTATACAGGGTGATTTGTGCAGACTAATGCAAAGACTGGTGTTTTATAGGAGGGACTTCCCAGATTTAATTGTCTGTGGGGGACCAGGAACCCTTTCTTTCCCACAAGGCTATGTGGGCCAACTGTTTTTGGCTCCTTTCTGTGTAAGGGTGCAGAGTTTGAGACAAGAGAGGAGTTAGAAATTAATGCAGTTTAATATGACTCTGCCCTTCTGACTTGAGTCCCTTATGGATGGTATTTTTGAGAAACGTTGCCTTATGTTAATATGAAAGTGCGAATTGAAAAGAGATTTTGATTGTTTTTAAACAACTTGATGATTTGAGAAATTTTACTTCTCTGAATTGAAAGTGTTCACGTTTCTACTTGATGTAGAAGTTTATTGCCTTGTGGTTGGTGTAAGGAATCTGTTGTCAAACTAGTTGGATTCATCTTTCAGCCCCCCGACTTACTAATTTCCATTTGAGCATTTCATTTATTTTTCTTGTACCGGGGTTCAAACTCTGGGCATTGCACTTCCCAAGCAGCCCTTGTACTGCTGAACTATATCCCTGGCTGCGTTTGAGCTTGTACTTGAAACCTCAAAGTGGGGTGCTCGAAAGTATAAGTATAAGGTAAGCACCTGATTTCATGTGTTATTTTGAGATTAAACAGGAATTTATGTGAAGAGGTAAGCACCTGATTTCATGTGTTATTTTGAGATTAAACAGGAATTTATGTGAAGAGAATTTGCTTGCTGCCTGGCACATAATACGTGCTCAGTAAATGTTAGCATTCATTTTGGTCTTTCTACTTGGTACCTCATTTTCTTTCTTTCTTTTTTTTTATTTTGGTGTTTTGAGACAGGACCTCACTGTGTGGCCCAGGCTGGCTTCACACTTTCAGTGATCTTCCTGCCTCAACCTCCTGAGTGTTAGGATTACGGACACCTGGTACATGCACTTTCCAAGTTTGTTTTTGTATGACAAATTCACAATACAGTTTATGTTTTATATTTTAAAAGTTTAAGTATTCTGTTTTATATTTGATTCAAGTAAACAAAAGGAATTGTGTTACAACTATGAGCCACTAATGGCCTTTTTCCTCCGCAGATGTGTGTTAAAGGAGTTAGAGACCCTGGGGAAGGACTTGTATGGGGCAAAGCTAATCGCGCAGAAGTGCCAGGTTCGAAACTGTCCTCATTTCAAGCATGCAGCGAGTGGGTCCGACTGTCTGCTCTCCATGACTGAAGAGGGGAACCCGCACCATTACTTTGTGGCAACACAGGTGATGTGCTACTCTAACTGTTCCTAGCTGCCTTTCCTATGAAGCTGTTTGGCACAGACAAATACTAAGTGGAAGTGACTGGTTAAGTGTTTATACTTAAAAATACAGGCTTTTAATTTGCAGTCAGTAAAAGCATCTGTCACCTAAGAATATGAACAGAAAACTTTAAGTATGTTGAGTTTTTTGACATTAACTGAAGTTTTCTTTTTTGCAAATGAAAAGTGATGGAGAGATGTGATTTGTTTTATGATTCATCAAGGGATTTTGTATTCTGTGTTCATAACTCTTTGAGTGTCTGTAATTCATCCTACTTTTCAAAAAGTATGGCTCATCTCCTTCCAGACTGGAGTGGAATGTTGTAGGCTTTAAAAGATCAGGATGCAAAAGAAAAGAGACTCAAAAAATTTCTGTTCAGTTTACATAGATCTGGATTTGCCTGAATATACTTTCCAAATTGTAAAATTCCACAGAGGCAAAACTGAAGCTAGAATCTGAATCAGCTGATTCCCACTCAGTTGTTATTTCTTTCAGCCTCCTCTTTGTACATTGTTGGCTTTTGAGGCAGGATCTTGGTTTGTAGTTCAGACTGGTCTTAAACTTAACTACGTAGCCCAGGCTGGCTTTGAACCCTGGCTATCCTCCTGCCTCAGCCTCTCGATTCCTGGGATTACAGATGCACGCCACCTCAGCTGACTTCTTTGTACAAAGAATATCTGAAGAGTAGAAGCAAAGGAAGCCTCCGAACACAGTGGCCTTTGCATTACTTTATAATTTATGGCCGTAGAATACTGATAAATACTTACAGTGCTCACACTGTCAAGGTCAGTTTTTTGTTTTTCTTTATCAGAAAGTACATCCCTTTAGTGATACTGATTGGAAAAATAAAATGTAGGGTATCTTCTCTTTTTCATATAACCACCTTCAAGGAAACTATTGAAGGTAACTTCATTAACATAGTTGAACTAAATCTGTTTTTCTTTTTAATAGGATCAGAATTTATCTGTGAAAGTAAAGAAAAAACCTGGCGTTCCCCTGATGTTTATCATTCAGAACACTATCGTCTTGGACAAACCGTCTCCCAGAACAGTCGCCTTTGTAAAGGCCGTGGAGTCCGGTCAGCTTGTGTCCGTGCATGAGAAAGAAAGTATACAGCACCTCAAAGAGGAGCAGGGCTTAACGGAGAACCCCGAGCGGAGAAGACGGAAGAGACGCAAGAGAGTGAGTGGCCCCAATCCTCTTAGTTGTTTGAAGAAAAAGAAAAAAGCACCAGATGCAACCTCTCTGGCTTCTGAAAAGAAGAGAAAAAGGAAAAGGGTCCGAATCCGGAGCAGGTCTGCCTCTGCGGGGCCGCCTGAGCAGCAGAAGCCGGGAGGGAAGGGTGCTCCCGACACGGACACCGCCACCGCCACCGCCCGAGGCGCCACCTGTGAGAAGTGAACTGTTGTTAAGCTGGGGAGTATTTATGACGAAAGACTACGTTTATTTTTGTAAGTGAGGGCTGACCTTTCTACTTCTGTGTAAAACTGCTCACCAATAAAAAGGGTGGCTGCGTTTGGACGTGGTGGTGCTCACTTTTGCACTTTAAAAGGATTGGTTCCTTCTGTTCCTTCTGCTCCCTCCCACTGTTGCCCCCAAATGCCATGTGCAAACAGTTTTAAGAATCAAACAGTCCGAAAAGGCTTGTGGCCAAAAACACCCCGTCCCCCAATGCAGTGCCATTTCAACGTTCAGAGGAACCTGGTTCTTTCAACCCTTGTAGTAATTTTGGAGTTTTTTCCCTATTGTAAAAAAAATTTTGGAGTTTATGTTTCCAGATTATATAAATGGACTGCTGCCTTTTGATCCACCCATTGTTTATTGACTTTCTGTTACAAGAATGCAAATTGTACTTAAACTTTTTTCATTATCCATGTACATATTTTAATCTTTGTACATCACACATTTTCTACAGCTGATTAATTTTACCACTCAGAAAAGATGCCCATGACAAGATATCTTTTATTAGTAGTACCAGTTTAGGTTCAAGCTAGGCAAAGCACTCAAAATATTTCTTAAACTACTTTGTGCAGACTACAAAATTTACACCGTAAGTGTACACTCCTTAAGGAGTCTAGTAGAATACTTTAGTGTTAAAAAGGAGACAGATAAAGTGTTTTCTGTATGCCTATAGTACAACAGGTGTAGAGTCATTTAATCCTAGAAACCATATACAAGATAGATGAAATGCTGGGTGTGGTGGTGCACAGTATAATCCCAGCACTTGGGAGGCTGAGGTAGGAGGATCCCTGTGAGGTGATGGCCAGTCTGAACGTAGTATGACCTTGTCTCCAAGCAAACCCCAAATAGATACCTAACTAGTGTTACTGACCCTAAACCTGCTCTCTTTCCCTGCTAGAATGCCAGAATACCACCAGATCATGTTTCAGTTTGTTCCTCTGATCCATTGATGCCCCATTGAATTAGGGCCTCACGGTGGTCAGATGACAGATAAGTGAGTTCACATCCCCTTTCAGTCCAGTGGGCTCAGCTTTGTGAGCCCACCTTTGGTTTTCCCAGGTTCAAACCATAGAATTCTTAGACACTCGGCAACTGGTCGTGTCCACATACTGGTTCTCATTTATGGCCTAGGGGCAACTCGGACTTCCTCCTTCCTGTCGGGCTAGCAAACCAAAGATAGGATGTTGTTGGAGGAATTGTAGAGGTTACTGTCCTCATCTTGGTCGCCATCATCATAATCACGTACTTGTATGAGGCAAAAGTGTTGATTCTTGTAAGGGTCTGGGCAGGAAGTAGATGAACCTTGAAATACTCTTTGACGTTCAGGAGTGTGTGTGTGTGTGTGTGTGTGTTTTAAAGTCAGGGTGATCATTGGCTATAGCTTTTTCGGATACAGTATCTTCGCAGGAGTAAATCTGTTCAACCTGACATGGAAAATGCTCTTACCTCCTTGAGCAATGTGCTAGGACTACCAAGACAGCTTTGGTTTCTCTTGACAGACAGGGTCCAGAGGGCAGTCACAGCCTTGCTCTGTGCCTATGGCAGCTGACCAATTCTCTCTCAAAGTCAAATCTGTAGAGATCTTTACTTAAGTATTTATTTATTTAGGCTTTTTGAGACATGGTCTCACTTTGTATCCCAGGCTGGCCTTGAACTTGCATTGATCCTCCTGCCTCAGCATCCTGAGTGCTGGGATTACAGGTCTGCGCCACCATTTCTGGTTTGTGAGGGATCTCGATCATGTTGACATTTCCTACAGCATCACACTGGCCCGCTATGCTGATGACATTATGCAAACTGGATCAGTAGGAAGACCGAGTATACTGGTATTTCAGTCAGGCTTTATGACTACGACAGGGCTGGAGAGGAAGCTACAAAAAGTCAAAATTCAGCAACTCGTCTATACACACCTCACAATGTCAGCGTGGAGACAGTGCGTTGAAAACAGACTCTGTCTAATAAAATACGACCTAGAGACCAATCTGTGGTGTGTCTTGCACAGCCAGGGGAGGTGGGGTCCAGGAATTCAGCAGTGGGAACAGGAGAGTAGATCCTCTTGCTTTTGTTTTATAATCCACTCAGACCATGGTTACTTCCTTTCCTTCAGACTTTAGCTCTGTGAGGTTGTCTCCACAGGAGGAACGTTTCTACCAAGTGCAGAGAAACAGTTCCGTGCATTTGGAAGCCGCGATAGCCACCAGTTAATTTGGGGATTATTATGCTTCTGAAGTGACAGACAGAGGAGGGAATTATTCTTTTGGCTGAGGCGACTGATTCAGATTTCCAAGTGTGAACTGGATTGCTGCAACGTGAAGAGAGTAGCAATGATTTTTGCAATCTGGGGACGTCTCCAAGATGCCTCTTTGTACTGTATTTCTACATCCAATAGTAAAAGTTGATAGAGAACCACTCCAACAAGGTGGCAGGCAAACTGTGCAGATTAAAGGACAAGTTAAGGTTCTCGCTGAGGTCAAAGGAAACACGACTGAGTGGTGGCAGCTAGTGTGTTAGAGGGTGCCCAGTGAGTTTTACCTTCTTTATAAGCTCAGATACCCTCACCCACAGTGGATAGGACTGACCTGTGCCATCCACAGTATACTAATGTAATAGAAATTGTGATGGTGTGCACCTTCTAACTCGGGTCACAAAAACATGGTGTCATGCATCTCTTCTTGCCCTGGGAGGAGCCATCACCTCCGTGGAGAGGGTATTTAGCTCAAGGGAAATCTGTCCTATGGCTGGAAAGGAAGCATCTTGTGACACCAGTCTCAATTTGCCAGCAGTATGGGTGAGCCATCTTCGAAGCGGGCCCTCCAGCTCTGCTTGTGCTTCTGGTGTGTCTTAGTTACTTTGCTCATTTCTGAGATGAATACTCAACCCCCAAAGTTAAAGGGGGAACAGCTCACTGTAGCTCACACTTTGTAGAGGTTTCACTTTGCTGTCGGCTGGCTCTGACGCAGAGGAGCATCACCGAGGAGAAGCAGCCGGTGGTGGGGCTGAGGCAGTGAAGCAGCGAAGCGGCAAGCAGTGGCCACAGCAGCCCCTTCCGTCCCTTCCATCCAGGGTATCTGCGCTCACATCCGGGTGGGGCATCTTTAATCCCAGCATCCCATGCTCCAGATCTGGCCACCTCCGAAAAGCCCCACCTGTGACCGCGTGAGGCTTCGGGGAGCCATATAGACTGAAGCCATAACAATGTGACTGTGACAACAGTTGGCTGTGACTGCCTAAGGCTAAAGCACGCCATTAAGCCACTGCTGTATTCCTGACCCACAGAGGTCATGTGGGATAAATGTGTGTTGTGTAAACCACTAAGGTTGTTTGTCTCTATTTACTTTTTGAAACAAAGTTTCTGCATGCAGTGCAGGTTAGCTTTGAACTAGCTTATGTAGCCCAGATGCCCCGTGAACTCATGGAGATCCTCCTGCCTCAGCCTCCTGAGTGCTGGGATTACAAGTATGCACCCCCACGCCTGGCAAAACTACTAATGCAATAACAAATGCAGTTACAGGAGGAAGTGTCTTGAGTAGTTACATAGACTGTTCATAATATCTATGAGTATTTCTGTCCTTCCTAGTTATGTGTAGATACATCCATGAAATGTATATATGTAACAGGATGTACATATATATTTAATTTGCATGTATAATATATATAATAGAATCATACTTTCTTCTCTCCTAATTATTATTATTATTTTTTTGTCTTTTTCCTTTTTACCGGTACCAGGGATCGAACTCACGACTGCCTGCTTGCAAGGCAGGCACTTATCCCGCTGAGCTAAATCTCCAGCCCCTCCTAATTATTTTTTATGACTTACTTATTTTGTTTATGATGTTAAGTTTACCATTTGATTCTGTTACCACTTTGATAAAAAACTATCAGGTGGGTAAATTAGCACAGCCACTTTGAGAGGTAATTAGCATAATTTAGATAGTTACAATGATTCTGGAGATCATAGGATGATATTCATTTGTATGAAAAACAGTCACACTAGGTGAAGTGGCTTATTATATGAAAGTTAATGCATAGAAAGTGGAGCACATGCTCAGCTAACGATGTGGATTGTGTCAGCTGCAAACCCACTGTTCCTTTTTCAAAACTATATTTTAATTTTTAATTGATACATAGTGTTATACATACGTGTAATGTTTCATATCTATAAGGGTTAGTGGTCAGATCAAAGTAATTGGCTAGTTATCAGCTCTGCCAGATATCATTTATTTTGTGCAGAGAACATTCAAAATTCTACTAGCTATTATCAAACTCGGTTAACAACCATATTTATCTTTTTCTTTCAAATCCATTTTAATTTAAAGGGAAGAAAACTTCAAAATACATCTATTGAGGGCAACCATGGTGCATACACTTTGTATTGTCATCCCCAGATTATTCACTCAGAGGACAAGACATTTGCATTCAATTGTCCAGACAATATCAGCACAAAACCTTTCTCTTCAGTCAACTCAGAGAAATCAGTAGTATAACTATATTAAGTATTTTTATACTATACATATACATACACACATACATATATACACACATATGTCACTTTGTGCAGGGTCTCACACTAGTGAAACGATGTTTACACATGCGAGTCTGATTTATTTCACTTATGAACATGCATCCATTTATGTATAGAAGTCTCCAGTTTATCCTTCTTTATGGCTGAGTATTACTCCACGTCTTTTTCATGCATTCCTCAGTCGATGGGTATTTAGGTTGTTTCCAAGACTTGGCTGTTACAAATTGTGCTGCTGTAAACCACCCATAGCTATCTTACTCTGCTGAGGAACACGAGATATTATTCTTCCTCTCCAGCTGCATCCCTGAATTCTCTCCATCCCTTCCTATCCCCACCTTTCTCAGGCTCTGGTAACCCCAGTTCCATTCTCTGCTTTGAGATGAACCTTTTCACTTTCACGTCTAAGTGAGAACATGCAGTATTTGTCTTTCTAGGCCTGCCTTATTTCACTTAGCACAGGATTTTCCTTCCATGCAGGTGACGTGATTGCGTTCCTTATTGTGGCTGAGAGGCAGCCTCTGTGTGTATGTTCGGGGTTTCCTTCCTCGCTCATCAGTTGACGGGCTCCTGCGTCACCCCGCTGGTGTATTAGGGACAGTGCTGCAGGAAACATGGGAGCGCAGAAGTTTCTCCTGCACACTGACTTCACCCCCTCCGGACCCTTACCCAGTGCGGGGTAACTGGGGTACCCGGGAGTGCTATTCTAGCATTCCGAGAGACTTCTCTATGATTTTCCATGGTGCAATGTTACATCTTGTAGAATGATTATAATAAAACAGGCAGAAAATAGAAAGTGTTGGAAAAGGAATAGAAGAATTTGCACC